CTGACAGGTGTGAACAGGACATTTTCCTGTATTATCCTATTGTGGTAGGGATGCTAAAAGAAATACATCTACAGTTTTGATCTGTGAAACTAGTAAGGGTTTTCAGTCAAATGAAAAAGGTGACAATGGGATTACATTCGTTAATCATTTGCCTTGAAATAAGCAGAAGTTTCTGGATTACCATACTGTAAACCTAGAGGCCTCATGTTAATCAACTTAGTGTTACTGCAATAAATATCAGAGAGATAATCATCCCACAAAGAAAAAAGTTTTACATTTGGCTTACAGTTTCAGTGTCTGTGGTCTATGATTAGATGGCCTCATTACTGTTAAACTTCAGTAGTACACCAGAGGGGAGAACTCATGAAAGGAAAACACACACACACACACACACACACACACACACACACACACACACACTCAACTCATGTGTGAGGACCAGAGGAGTGAAAGAGAAATAGGCCTAGGTCTCAGTGTCTCCTCAACTGCATACCCAAAATGATCCCAAATCTTAGTTGGTCCATTAAAGGTCCTGGGGAAGATGCTAGGTCTGGCATGGGGTTATCTGTGGGAAAAGAATCTATGTACACCTTGCTATTTCATCTGTTTATGTCTCTGTGATAAAATACAGCTCAGTCCTCACATTCAGCTCCTCCCTGTACCTACTCATCCTGTCCTCTCATAGTACTAACCAAAGCTCCTATGCTTTTGACCTCATCTTCATCCTCTGTTCCTTCATCTTCCATCTTTCCTCGCTTGCTTCTTACCCCTGGCTCTGAGAAACTCTGCCTTCTTCTCTTCTCTCCATCTATGCACCTGTATCAACCATCTATAGAAACTGCCTTATCCTTTCTTTTTGGCCACATGACTCTGCTCTGACCAAGAATCCGGCCCCATCCTTTACTTCACCTGGGTATGCAAAAACGTCCTTTGTTCTGAGTCAATTGCTCTGCAATGCTGTTTTCCCTGTCAGGAGAAGGGAGGTCTGAGCTTCATTTGCAGGAGAAACAAAGCTATGCATCTACAGTACACTTGTCTCCTAGGCCCTGGAGCGGGGTCACCTAGTGGATCATCAGTACTTCTGAGAAGTTTAACTGTTTGCCATATGGCCTAGTAGTATATGGGCACACAAGAATTTCATAGCAGAAGACAGCTGATATATATTAATAAGTTAAATAACACCAAGTATTCCTTGATAAATGACTTCCTCTGGAGGACACCTTGGTCAGTCAAGGTATAGCTTATTATATACAGCTGAATCTCTATAATATATTCTTACAGCCAGCTATATTACTCAATGTTCACCCAACAGAGATGCTGAGGATGAACTTGAGTTCCTAAAAACAGCTGCTATAGCTGAGCTCTGTATTATTTATCATGAGAACTCAATGAAATTGTAATGAGTTAGGCTGGACAGTATACATCCTTTCAATGTCACCCACAGAGGGCTGTTTAATATACACTCAATGCCCATAATCTTTGGATTTGGCTCACAAAATCAAGAAGTATGTTCCTGAGTCAATCAAGGCACAGTGATTCACAGCTGTGATCTCAGCAGTCAGGAGGCTGAGTAAGGAGAATCACCAGGAGCATAAAGTCAGTCTGGACTTCATAGTCCTACAGGGATTCTAGATCTACACAGGATCCAAAGGAAGACTCAAAATATTTTTAAGAGACACATCAGTTGAGTGATGAAGCATCTTACAGAATGGGAAATCTCTTTACCAGCTATGTACATAGGGGGTTAGTATCTAGAAAACAAGTAACCCAATCTAAAAATGGAGTATAAGCTAAAAAAAAAGTTCTTAAAAAAATGTTGTGCAAATACCTGAGATATATATATATATATATATATATATATATATATATATATATATATATAATGCTCAACATTATTATCCACCAGGGAAACACAAGTCAAAACTACTTTGAGATTTCACCTCACCTCAGTCAGCATAGCAAAAAACAAAAATACAAATAGCAGCAAATGCTGCTGTGGATGTGGGATAAGGAGAACACTCACTCCCCACTTATGTTAGTGCCAATTTGTGTAATTATGCACAAAATAATGAGGTCAAACACAGTCTAAAATCCGAAGAAAAAATTTTATTCCAAAAAAAATCACCGTGGGACACAAAAAGCTAATGAGCTAGCTGATACCATAGCCAGAGTGTGGGATTCTGTACCTATGGCAGTTGGAGGGGGTGGGGTTATGATCCCCTTCCTATAGAAGGAGAAAGCATCAGGCATGGACAATAAATTTTTTACAATTCCTAATTTAAACATTTGAAGACAGATTGCTTTTTAAGGATTTACCATTTTCCATTAACAAGGTTTTAGAGAGTTTCAGCTGATTGATTTTTGTATATCCCTGAAGTCTTTCCTGACACAGCTAATTGATGTTTGCCCCAAATCTGCAACTCTTTCTGACATAGCTGGGTTCCCATAGAAGGAGGAATATGAAACAATGCAAAGGAGGCTGTCACATAGAACTCATTAAAAGTTAACTTTGGCTTTTGATAGTGAGTGGCAGGGGTTTGCAGAGAGCAATCTTTAGTAAAACACTAACATTAGGGTTTCTGACAGAGCTCCTATCATAAAACAAGGAAGGGCCCAGTGAAAGGTTAATCCCCATTTGCTGGCAAAGCTGATGGCTGTC